AAAAACCATGGCCATTTGATTTATTGTCCCTCGAGTGGCACTTTAATTTATTCAGTCAATGAGTGAATTTCCCCCCAAAGATCCCACATTACATATACAGATGCTAGATCTGCAGTATATTGTTGTGTCTCACAAGTTCACAAACTCTAAATATTGCACATGATCAATAAGATTGTTATTATATTGTTGTGTCTCACAAGTTTACAAACACTTAATTATTGCACATGCTCAATAAGATTGTTATTAGCCTTTGTACAGAGCTTGGTTTCTGTATTTGGGTTAAATGTAATCAATTTATTCGTGAAAATTAAAATTAATGTACTAACATAAGTTTGCCTCGTGGGAACTGCCTCCTGAGAACCAACCAGACCAGTAGGCAGAGTCGTGAAGAGAGATGATATGATTCTTCTGGTTTTTCTATATTCATCATATATATTCATTCATACAATGAAGAATCCACAAAGTTTGTTAGTCCCACCTTATTTAGCAAATCTCAGTCACCAGGCGCGGTGAAGGAAAGAAGACTTACTCGGAAGAGGAGACATTTTTTTTTCTGGTTCTAACAATAGACTGCAAGGAAGGGAGGGAATCTAATCAACACGTACCGTGAAAATGAGTTACTGCAAATAGTTTCAGGAATTTGGCGCAACAAGTAGTTGAGTGTTATATCATCTCTCATTGATCGAGCAGTTTTAGAAATCACTAATCAGCCCAAGAGTGAAACTGTCAATAATCCCACCATCCTAGCGTTTTCTCAACCAAAGGCAACACAGAAGGAAAACGTTATGTTCTATGCATGAACACAGTGTACAGGCGAAAACAGATGCTGAATTAGCTTTTTTATGGAGCCCTAAATGAGCTTACAAAAACTTGGATAGATAGATCAGATGACGAGATTCAGAAGATCGGGTTGCAAGCCGTCCTTTTAGGCTCATGTTAAGAGTTTGGCTTCGCAAGATTCAGGAGGTCTGATTCTCTTACTAGTATATAAAACTTGAAACAGATATACCTGACATTTAGCAAATTGCAGATTTTAGATCACATTTTCTATTCAATATCTATTGTTAAGTATACAAACTATCCGTCAAGCAAATCTCTTCGACATACTCGGAAAACCATATTAATATTGTATCTAATTGATTGTATGACACTTACTTGTAATTCACCATAACAACAACCTCCACATAATAGGACAAATGGTCAAAATAACTTACTTGCTTTCCAACTTCCCTATGAAATATTCCTCAACATACTAACCACTTAACCTCACAGCAAACCAGAAAGATTGCATGTAAACAAGCCATCTTTGAAACATAAAAGAAAAATCGCACACAAATCGTGGTCATTCCATCTCCTCATAAGCAAACTCAAACCGTTCTTTTCTTGCATATCATTTTTGTTTCCATATGGCGAGAANAAAAAAAAAAAAAAAAAAAAATCTCCCAAAAGAAGATAAGTCAACGCAACATATGCTTACCACTGCTTGAGCTCTTGGCCCACAGCACCTGGCCATCAATGGCGGTGAGATGTTCATCATCAAGACGCTTCCACGTCTTGATTGACTTCACGGGGCCCCACGATCCATTTCCCGTTTTCTCGAGAGATGCAATTACCATTCTAGCCCTCCTGGCCCACCCAGCCTTCCCATAGGCATGGTACCCAAAGCCACCAGCATAACACATGTTTATGCCGTTTAATTTTCCACAGAAGTCATTTAAGTGATCATGGCCCGTGAAAACGGCCCTCACGTCCCCTGCAGCCACCATTGTCGTGAAGAATCCAGAGTTCACAGATGCCGAGCTAATGCCTTCTTGTTTGCCACCTGTAAAGTTCGACGAGTCGAAACTTGCGTATTCGGGTAGTGGAATGTGGAAGTACGCAAGCCCTGGGGCTGGACCATTTTGCTGTTCTGGCTTGTTCATGTAACTCCTCTGCCAATAAAAACAACAACTTGATTTAACTGATTAAGCCCGTCTAAAAAACTACTCAACAACAAGGGAGGGATCACAAATTAACACTAACTGGAGTTCTAACATGGAAAAGCTGCAGAGCGGATTAGTTTTATTTCGATTCTGGAAATTTCAATCATCAGAAATTGTAAGTAGCGGAGAAAGAGGGTTTTATATTTCTGATTCTGCTGTTTTGTTGAGCATTCAACACTTAACTAACGAATATTCCTTCTTTAACTGATGTTTAAACCATTAGGTTCCCTACACAAAAAACTTCCAACTTATATTCTCAACTCCGAACTAAAAATAGATGTTTGTTCTACACAAAGACAGCCATAACAGCAAACAAATAGTAGGTTGTACTAAGTACCTGAAGCTCGAGGGAAGTACGTTGAAACCAGAGCTGCTGAGAGGGTTTAATCCAACCATAGCCAGGAATCAAGGGAGAAGTCGAGTAATCCCCACTGTCCAAAAAATAGAGGTTCATAACTGATTTATTCTCAAAGCGCGAACCCTCAACACCGTGGACCTCCAAATTGTAGTTTCCAAATCCATCGATAATATGAACTCCGGGAGGATTAAGCTGTGACAAAGTGTTCTTCATGCTAACTATATGCTTCATCACACCCTCCCTAGACAACGTAGACTCCTGGTCGTGATTGCCTAGAACAGCGGCCCACGGAATGTTCGATGAGACAGCAGGGGCAAATGCGGCATTCATCGATGCTGCAGCATCACTCGCATCAAACCCATAGATGTTGTCCCCTGTGTTATCAATCTTCACATCAACTAATGATCCACATATTTCTCTAATGGTAAAGAAAAGGTTATAATTAAAGGATAGAATAAATGTAGTAAGATTAGAGGAACACAATTGAGCAAGTCATAGGGTTCACTAAAATTTTCCCCAATTTTTCCCTCCAAAAACCTTAATTCCCAATAAATTTCGGCAAGTTGGCAGATTCCAGCACGAACCCAGCAAATTCCCGGTGAAAAAGGATCAAACTTTGTTGGATTCGCATTGGATAAAGCATGTAAATCGTATCAGAAAACAACGGAATGAAGCAAAGCGATCCATATACAAGTTCATTCATGTCCTCACTGAAATCGTATGACAGCGTAGACTTCCCAAGTCGTCATGAAAACGGCAAAGTATAAATGACAGGTTTTGCTAGAATCTAGTAAGGATTATCAACAATTATATAGATATTACATGTATGAATGAATAGCCGCCGATAAACAAGAAACAGGGACCACACCCGTAAAAACAATAAAATCAGGTTTCTCGGCGCGAATAAGGCGGCGGATGAAGGCGGTGGTGTTGAGATCGGAGCAAGTTTTCATCTGCTGCGGTAAAACGTCCTCGCAAGGCGTTTTCCGGCCGTCGGCGAAATGCATGTCCGCCACCTGCAAAATCCTGAAATCACCCTTCTTGCCATCAAACCTCAGCTGCCGCCGCTGATGGCCGGCGGCGGAGACGTGGCAGCACAGTAAAGCAATCCACACCATTACAGCTGCAATTCCCATCTTCTTCGCCTCCGGGAAAAACATAGTTAGCTGGGACAATTAAATGGTGGTCAGAGAAAGCAAGAAAGACTGTAACTTTATTACAGTACGAAGTTTGGAGTGGCAAGTAGATACTCTATTGATGGTATACCCATCAAGTCCATTAACCCAACTGTCCCGTTGCCCGTGACATTATTTATTTATTTATTATCTATTTGCCGTGTGAATTCTTTCAAAAACAATCAATCTCCCAAAAACCAAAGTATATTCCTTAGAATAGAATTTGTCGCTATGTAGCTTTGAACTTTGAATAGTATTTTCTTCTTGTTCCTTGACTAGGACATTTGGCACAAGCGAAAATTGCATATATTTCGATCATAAGGTCGAGTTTCGAGGAAAAGTGGAAACTCTATTAATCCTCCCAAATGAAGAGAGAAAAATAAAAAAAGCAATGTAATTTGTATAACTGGCTAATATGATAGATGCATTAGTTGATAGCTTCTCATATGTATGATAAATATGTTCCGTAAAATAAGTTGATAAATCAGTTGAAATAAAAATTCAACGAGCTTATTTGAAAAACTCTTCAAGGAAGCTTATGAGATAAGTTCTAGTTTTTTAGAAAGTTCACCATACCAAACCAAATTTATTTGCATACATGAAATATATAAGCTAGCTTATGATATTTACCAAACTCACTCTAAATTCTGTACCGCCAGTTGTCCATCAATTCCATAATTTTTTTTTCAAATGATACAAATGTTATTAAATACCAAAAGAGTACAGTCGATTGTTCACTGACAATACAAAGCACATTTGCATTTGACACACCAAACACAAAAGTGAAAGAAGACTCATACGAAGGGATCCACCCAGAGTCAAGGCGCACTAGAAACAAAAACTAGACACAACACTCCTCTACTGGGAGACATAACCACTCCCCAAATGGGATACACAAACATTCACCAAGGGAGATTTGAAGATATAAAGCATAACAAAACACAACAAAACATGAAACAAACTAGATCTAAAACAACACAAATACATAATAAATAGAGAAAAGAGCTAGAAGCCATCAAGCAATCGCACTTCAAACCAGCATCAAGATCTATTTAGATCGGCCAAGATTCACCAAAATCCCTTCCTTATAAGACTCCTTATTTTCATACCTAGATAATAGTCAAGATCCTCCAACATACACAATGATCATTTTCTCACCTGTTTTGGCTTTTCACATTTGGTAGTATGTTGGACTAACGTTCCAAGGTTGCTACTCAACGACTTAAGTTCTGGCGAGCTTTCAGTTGACTAGTCTAGAGTGCTAGCTCGACCTAACCTTCTTTAGCTCGGGCCCTCCTGGCAGGACCTACTCTCAGCTCCTACGGCCTGAGGTAGCTAACACCACCATGCTCCAACGACCTGCAGTAGGCAAAACCAGAGTCACGCTCAGTCTGAA